TTTCAAACTACAGCACGAGTGTCCTCTGCTGGCCTGAATTCCTGAGCATTCCATAGCAAAACCTGGGATGTGTGGGCCCTTTCCAAGGGCAGATCCCAAACCCTGGGCAAGTCCCACCTTCCAAAGGCTCCAGGCACAGGGACTTGTGCAGATCCCTGTCTCCAAACCCCTTGCTGCCCTGTGCAGCCCCCCAGGAGGATAAACACCGTGTTGATCCCCTCCTGTTCCATTCCTCACTGCACTTCCCCACGTTTCTTTTCCCTGTCCCAGGATGAGGGAGGCCTCCTCGCGTCCCAAGCGGGAATACAAACCCAAGCCCAGGGAGACATACGACTTCAGGGAGCCTGACCAGTCCAACGGGGGCTTCTCCTGCAACCCCACCCCCAAAGTCTCAGGTAACGTTGTCCCAGGTGTTCACTGGTGCCTCTGGAGCAGCCTCCCAGGGAAGGAGGGCAGCTGCTCTGCCTGCACAGGACGTTCCTGCTGTGCTGGATGCTCCTGCACGAGCCTGTAGCTCTGGAGAACGTCAGGAATGCCTCTAGATTGGGCTCTTTTCTCCTGGGACCCAGGAGCCTTTGCTGTGTTGGCTTTGGGGATGTGCCAGAGGGGTCTCCAGCCTGGGCCTCTCGCTGTCAGTGCCAGACAGGAAAACTGAAGCCTCCCTCCCTCCCTCCCTCCCTCCCTTCCTCCCTCCCTCCTCCTCTTCCATCCCGCTGCATCCCTCCCTCCCTCCCTGATCCTGGCGGGTTCCTAACAGCATGGGGGCCCTGCTGTTTCTCCTGACAGATCCTCTGGGCCCTGCCTGTCCCTGTCTCCCGTTGGTTTAAGCATGTTTCTCTTTTGTTTGGAAGCAGCTTCCGCCTCTTTCCGGTCGGACAAGCCGTCCCGGGCCTCCGTCAGGAGTATCCGTGAGTTTCCTCCCTCTGCACTGCTCCCTGTGTGGCCTCCTCTCCCCATCCCTCCTGGCTGCTCCTCCCTGCTGCTGCTGCTGCTCCTTGGAGCTGCTCATCCCTCCGTGCTGAGCCTCAGCTGAGCCCTGAATTAACCCAGCCACGCTGCAGTGGGATTTTGCAGCCCCAAAAGCAGGGCCTGGCTCACCCGGAGGAGCTGCAGCAGCTCCCAGCACCCAGGCATGTCCTGATCCCTGGGGATCAGTGCTTTCCCTGAGACATCACACAGCTCAAGGATTTCCCTGTTCTCACAAGCACCCAGCCTGGATCTCTCCCACTCCTGCTCCCCCTGTCCCTGTGGAAGGCTGGAGGGAGGAGGCAGAGCCTCAGCTCGTGGAGTTTGTGGGGTGTGGGGTGGTGTGGGGTCTGTGGTTCCTCCTGCAGGACCTTGGGATCTCAGGGCTGGGCTGGGGCTTGGAGCCTGGAGCAGGGCCGTGGTGGTGGGGCCAGCCTGGTGGTTTGGGGAGCTCTCTCCAACCCATCCATGTCTGGCTGCTGCTTGTGGTGATCTCTGAGTGCTCTTCCCGTGCTGGGCCCTCCCTTGCTGTGGGTCCTGGAATCATGGAGTGCCTTGGGTTGGGAGGGACCTTCAAGACTATCTCATCCCACCCCTGCCATGGCAGGGACACCTTCCCCTGTCCCAGGCTGCCCCAAGCCCTGTCCAGCCTGGCCTTGGGCACTGCCAGGGATATTCAGCAGCTGGATGTGCCCGTGTCCACTCCCTTGCCCTGGCTGGGGCAGCCCCAGCACAGTGGGGAGGGCTGGGGGGTCCTGCAGGCCCTGGAGGTCTCTCTTAGCTCTGTCCCTTCCCACTGGGAATCTCCCAGCTCCAAAGCTGAGTCCCAAAACGTCCGTGCACAGAGCGAGCAGCAGGAAATCCCACAGGAAATCCCACGGAAAATCCCTTTGCAGCCAAAAGGTGATGCTTAAATCCTGGAGCTGAGTTTGGGGAGCAAGATTTTGGGCTTCTCCTGAGTTTTGAGGGGCTGCTCATGGATTTGAAGCCCCGTGGCCAAGGAGGCAGCTGCTGTACTGTGCCCTTCAGGTGTGGGGTCCCCCCTCCAGTGTCCCCCTCCATGTCCAACCCCACCAGCAAGCCCCAGGGCAGGTTCTCAGCTCTCTGAGGGATAACATGCCTTGTCTGCCATCCACGTGCCTTGTCTGCCATCCCTCTGAGGCTGGAGTGCAGGAGGTGCAGGCAGGAGCAGCACAGGGACAGGGAATGGAGGAACTGCAGGAGCAGAGAAGGGCCAGTGGAGCCAGCCCTGCCAGTCCAGGCGGGATGCAGAGCCCTGGCAGGAGTCCCGGGTGCCAGGGCAGGGCACTGTGGGGTCCTGCTGATGTGTCCCCGCTGTCCCCACAGCCCCCCTGGACCAGCCCTGCTGCAAAGCCCTCTACGACTTCGAGCCCGAGAACGACGGCGAGCTGGGCTTCAAGGAGGGCGACATCATCACCCTGACGAACCAGATCGACGAGAACTGGTACGAGGGGATGATCCACGGCCAGTCCGGCTTCTTCCCGCTCAACTACGTGGAAGTGCTGGTCCCGCTACCTCAGTGAACCGGCGCCGCTCCGCCCCGAGTGTCCCGAGCTCCATTCCAGCTCCAGCCCCGCCTCCCCGCCTCGCCTCGGGGCCGGCGCTACCAGGGAACAAACCAGAAGGGTCCCACGGCCCCTTCCCCCCGTGAAGTTGGTTATTTTCTTTGGGAGTTTTTTTTTTTTTTTTTTTTTTTTTTTTTTTTTTTTTTTTTTTTTTTTTTTTTTTTGTCCTTCTGGTGCTTGAACTTCGGTACTTTGTGCGCCCCCAGCCCCGGCCGTGCTGCTGGCACTGCCCTGGCACTGCCCTGGCACTGTCCCTCCCCACTTCCCATCTTTCCTTTGGGTCCAGCGCCCGGATGAGGCAGATGGGAGAGCTGGGATGTGTCCTGAGCACAGGGATGGAGCAGGTGGCACAGCCCAGGTGTGTCCTGGGCACAGGGATGGGCAGGTGAGAGAGCTGGGATGTGTCCTGGGCACAGGGATGAGGAGGTGGCACAGCTGGGATGTGTCCTGGGCACAGGCATGGGGCAGGTAGCACAGCTGGGATGTGTCCTGGGCACAGGGGTGGCCCCGGGGCAGGGCAGCCCCAGCCCCACCCTCCTGCCCCAGAAACACTGCCCCTGATCCTGGAGGGATCCCAGAGGGATCAGGGGAGGGGAGCTGGGGCACAGCAACACTAAAACTGCCAGAGAACACTAAGGCAGCCCTGCAGGGCAGGTGCTGAGCCCTGCCTGGGGCTCGGGGCCATCCCTGGGGCTCGGGGCCATCCCTGGGGCTCGGGGCCATCCCTGGAGCTCGGGGCCATCCCTGGGGCTCGGAGCCATCCCTGGGGCTTGGGGCCATCCCTGGAGCTTGGGGCCATCCCTGGGGCTCGGGGCCATCCCTGGGGCTCAGAGCCATCCCTGGGGCTCAGAGCCATCGCTGGGGCTCAAACCCATCCCTGCCCATCCTGCAGGGACAGCAGGGATGTCCCCTGCCCGCCTGGCTCCCTCCCCACAGAGCTCAACCCCGTCAGGGTGTGCTGCTCCTTCTGCCCCTGTTTTTTTTCCTGGACCTCAGGCTTTTCCTGCTCCAAACTCTGCCGTGTCTGTCACACCTGGAGGATCATCCAGAGGGGCAGGAGCTGGGCCACAGCCCGGGGTGTCCCTGTGGCTCCTCTGCCTGTTCCCCCTTCCCGGGGATCCCTCCTGTCCTGGAGCTCCCCTGGCCCTGCCGTGCCTTCCCTGCCCCCCTCCCTGCCCACAGCCCCCCTCCCTGGGGGCAGGGCACCCCTCTGCCCCTGGGTTGCTGGGAAAAGGGATAGTTCATCTCGGTGGCACTTCTGCCAGCCCTTCTCCCTCAGCTGAGCTTTTCCTGGCCAGGAGGAGGGCACGGGGCTGGCGTGGGGCCGCAGGGCAGCGCCTGCTGGGCTCCGTGGGTTCCTTGCTGCAAAAGTGGGTTCTTCCCTCGTGGGGCTGGGATGGGCCCCAGCCCTGCTGTGTGAGCCAGCTGTGCAGGGCTGTGCTCAGCACCCTGTCCTGTTGTGAGCCCCAGCTGTGCAGGGCTGTGCTCAGCACCCCTGTCCTGCAGCTCCTCAGGGCTGTGCTCAGCACCCTGTCCTGCTGTGAGCCCCAGCTGTGCAGGGCTGTGCTCAGCACCCTGTCCTGCTGTGAGCCCCAGCTGTGCAGGGCTGTGCTCAGCACCCTGTCCTGCTGTGAGCCCCAGCTGTGCAGGGCTGTGCTCAGCACCCTGTCCTGCTGTGAGCCCCAGCTGTGCAGGGCTGTGCTCAGCACCCCTGTCCTGCAGCTGTGCAGGGCTGTGCTCAGCACCCCTGTCCTGCAGCTCCTCAGGGCTGTGCTCAGCACCCTGTCCTGCAGCCCCCCAGCCCTGCTCCTCCTGCTCCCGTTCTCTGTAAGGATTTGGTTCGTGCATGTCCCCGTGTGTCTGACCCCCGAGCAGTGACCCCGGCCCCGGGGGGGCACAGGGCAGCCCCCCCTGCTCCCAGCAGGGCAGGGAGCCCATGGGACCAGAGTCCTGGGGGTCCTTCCTGCTGTCCCCTCCCCGCTGGGGACACTGGCTCCCGCTCAGGTGGATTGAAACGCGTTCTGTCAGCTGCGACACCTCGCTAGATCTTTTTTTTTTTTTTTTTTTTGTTTGTTTGTTTGTTTTTGTAATGGTTTCTCCTGGTTTTTAGGGGAAAAAATGATGACCCACAATTCTTGACTTGTATCTCTGAATGAAAGTATTAAATGTTTTCTTCTTTCTAAGGGCTGCCTTGTGGAATCAGGGAATGGATGGGACCTGGAAGGTCACGGGCAGGGACAGCTCCCACTGTGCCAGGCTGCTCCCAGCCCTGTCCAGCCTGGCCTTGGGCACTGCCAGGGATCCAGGGGCAGCCCCAGCTGCTCTGGGCACCCTGTGCCAGGGCCTGCCCACCCTGCCAGGCAGGAATTCCCTCGCACATCCCCTTAGCCCAGACCATGGCAGGATGTCCCCAGCCAGCAGAGCCACCTCTCAGGAACTGCTCTTTAATCAAACTACCACTTCCACAAACCACTGACCCACGGAGTCCCCCCCGGCACGGCCGCCCCCGGGGCAGGGCGGGGCCGGGGGGTCGCGGGGAGCTCCGGGAGCTGCCCCGAGCCGGGGCCGGGAGAGCCCCGGGGCTGCGAGCCCCGCCCGGGCTGCGGGAGGCGCCTGGTCCGAGTCGAGGAGCCCCGGGCCCTCACCCGCTGAGCCTGAGCAGGCTGAAGATCTGCTCCAGGACGTGGGTGAAGCTCTGGTCTTTGGGGGTGCGGGAGGCCAGGGAGCCCTGGGGGGGGGGAACCCCACTTCATTCCAGCACAGGGAATGGGAGCCCCACCAAAGCCCCCTCCCCTCCCAGCCCTTCCCACCTTCAGCTTGTCCAGGTAGGTCTGGTCCTGACTCCACAGCTCCTGGAACTTCACCAGGTCGGGGGCTCCCTTATAGAACTCCACCAGCAGCGTCTGGGGGGGGACAGAGGGGCTGCAGGTCCTGGGGTGCCCCAAAGCCAGGCAGGGGGACCCCAACCCTGCGGCACTGAGACCTCGGTGGCCCCGGGGGGCTGGGGAAGGGACTGTCACCATCACCAGGGCTAAGGGCAGGATGGGGACAAGTGCTGGGGCGCTAGCCTGCCTCCAAGGGGCTCGGGGGGTTTTGGGGGCCCCCAGCCTCCTCTCACCATCTCCTGCACGACGTCGTTGGTGAGGAACCCGTCCTGGATGTAGGTGACCTCCACCTCCATGGGGATCCCGTAGTCGTTGGGCCGTTGCTGGGGGAGGGGAGAGCCGGGCAGGGGTCACTGCACAGCTCTGGGACCTGACACCACCCGGGGGGCGCCGGGTAGGGGGACCCCACCCCAAATTCCCTACCTCTGGCGGCGGCATCACCCAGAAGGGCGCGATTTTGGACTCCGCGCCGGGGTTGCCGTGGTAGAAGGGCCCTGTGGGGACAGAGGGGGCTGGCACAGGGGGGTGGCAGCAGCCCCAGCCCCCTGGGAGCCCCGGGCCGCGGGCACGTACCGCAGATGAGCCCCAGGCAGGGCTGGAAGCCGTTGCCGCTGCCCTGCAGCTTGAGCTGGTAATCCATCTGCGCGTCGATGTCGTGCAGGGACGGCAGCGCGGGCCCGAAGGGGTGGCTGTGGTACCACCCCACCAGCGACAGCCCCCGCAGGAACAGGCTCTGGCAGATCTCGGGGGGGGCACAAACCGTGGGTCCAGGGCCTGCAGAGCCCCCTGCCCGCTCCCCAGGCTGGATCAGCCCCTCACCTCCTCCTCCACAGCGCCCGCGGCTTCGGCGTCGCCCAGGCGGGTCCGGCACGGGAAGGCTCGAAGCACCGTCAGCACTGCGGGGACACGGGGCTGGGTGACACCCCCGGCCCACGGCAGAGCCACCCCCACCCCCCCAAACCCCACCTACGCTGGGTGTTGGTGTCCCACCGCCCCCCCAGGTACCCCACCACTTCGCTCCGCGTCAGGTGGCTGTGGAAATCCTAAAGGAAAAGGTTAAAATCGACGGTTCAGCACTAAAACGGTGACACGAGGGACAGCCCGCTCGCTGCAGGTGTCCCCAGTGCCATCAGCCATGTCCCAGCCTGGGGAGGGGACGCACCAGGAGCAGCAGCACGTTGCTGGAGATGGCCACGTTGAAGGGCTGGAATTTGTTGATGGCGGCAAAGGACGTCACCTCCACCAGGGTCTGGGGGTTCCTGGAAGAGCCACAGCCCCGCTGCCACCGCTGTCCCCGGCCCTGCTGCGCCCCGGGGGCCCGCTGTCCCCTACCTGGCCGAGTCGCGGGTGCCCAGGGTGCAGTAGCGGACGGGCACCCGGGGTTTCATCTCCAGCCTCTTCCCGGGATCTGCCAAGGACAGGGTCCCGTCACCGCGGCCGCGCTGCCCGGGACCCCCGGCACCCCCACGGCAGCTCACCCGTCCCCGCCGGCTCCGCCAGGCTCTTGCCCTGCTGCTTCTTGCTCCTCTCCTCCGGCTTTTTGGGAGCCGCCGGCTCCGGCGCCGCCACCCGACCCTCCCTCGCCGCCTCCTCCTCCTCCTCCTCGGGCAGCTCCTCCTCCTCGCCCTCGCTGGCCAAGCTCTGCGGGCAGACGGGGCTGGCACGCAGCTCGCCCCCCACGCCGGGGGTGCCGGGGGGCGGTGGCCGCGGTCGCACCTCCTCGGGGGGCGGCACGTTGGGCTGGTGCTTGCGCAGCCACGCGGCCTTGTACTGGTCCAGCTTCTGGCCCTTGTAGCGCACGGACGCCCAGCCGCAGCCCGACTTCTTGGCGGGGTTCACCAGGCGCTTGCAGTGCGTGGCCCAGGCGCTCGGTGAGTTGAACACCTGCCCCGTCTCCTGCCACGTGATGGTCCCGTCCGAGCCCAGGTCCCCCACGAACTTCTTGCCCTGGGGACAATGGCGGGAGTCCCGTCCCCTTGTCCCCATCACTTCTCCCTCAGCGCCATCACTGTCCCACGTTCGCCGTCTGTGTCCCTTGTCCTCATCCCACATCCCCTCATCCTCCTCATCCTGTGTCCTTTTCCCTGTCCCATGTCTTCTGCCCCATCTCTGTCTCCTGTCCCATCTCTGTTTCTTGTTCCCCTCCTCATCCTCAGTCCCCATCCCTGTTCACAGTCCCCTTCCCTCTCCCTGTCCCCATCCCTGTCCCCTGTCTCCATCCCTGTCCCCTGTCCCCATCCCTGTCCCCTGTCCCCATCCCTCTCCCTGCCCCATCTCTTTTCCCTGTCCCCATCCCTCTCCCTGTCCCCATCCCTCCCCCTGTCCCCACCCCTCTCCCTGTCCCCATGCCTGTCCCCGTGTCCCCAGGCTCACCAGGTAGTAGATGGACAGGACGCCCCTGCCCGGCTCCAGGAGCCCGTCTCGGAGCAGGACCCTCAGGGTGATGCCCCTGCGGGTCAGCAGCGCCCCCCGGGCCGCCCCCGCCGCCTTCGCGCCGCTCCCGACCTCCGGCTCGGCCTCCGCCTCGTCCAGCCCCGGCTCCAGCTCATCCTCATCCTCCTCCAGACACTCGTCCCCGCCGGGGGAGGCGGCCGCCAGCGCTGCGGGGGGACACGGTGTGACAGCACGGCCGGGTGTCCCCCCAGAGCACCCTCGGGTCCCCCCCTTGGTTTCTGCCTGCGGATGGGGACACGGGGACAGGGACTCACAGGGACGTGGGGACACAAGCACGGAGGGGACACAGGGACAGGAGGACTCGGGGATGGGAGATGGGGACACGGACCTGGGGACACGGGGGGTGAGGACACAGGAGGGTGACAATAAAGGACTGCGGGCACGGGGACACGGCTGGTGGGCACAGGACCGGGCTGAGGGACGTGGGGACACAGCGGAGGGACACGGCTGGGGAGCCCGAGCACACGGGGACGCGGCCGGGGGACACGGGGCTGAGCGTGCTCCGGCCCAGCAGGTCCCCAGAGCCCGGGGGGCTGCGGGGCAGGCCGGGGGTGACCCACGACAGGTCCCCGGGGGAGGGGTGTCCCCGCCCCGCTGCTGCCCCAGGGGTGTCCCGGGATGTCCCGGGATGTCCCCGCCGAGGTCCCGCGGGGGCGCGCTCAGGCAGGTGCACGCGCGTGTCCGCGGGGGGCGGGGGGGGGCGAGTGACCGGTGCGTGTCCCCGGCCGGGGCGCGTGTCCGTGCGCGCGTGTCCGGTTCCCGGTGCGCTCCCGGTGCGTGTCCGGTACCGGCTGCCCGGCGCGTGTCCGGTGTGCGCGTGCTCGGTGCGTGTTCGGCGCCCGGTGCGTGCCCGGTGCGCGCGATCCCGGTGCGTGCCCGGTGCCCGCTGCGTGTCCGATTCCCCGTTCCCAGTTCCCGGTTCCCGGAGCCGGTGCCCGGTGCGCTCCCGCCCCCCGGTACCTGCCATGCTCCGCTCCCGCCGCTCCCGCCGCTCCCGCCTCCCCCCGGTGCGCGCGGCGGCGGCGGCGGCGACACGTGATGGGGCGGCCCCGGGCGCCCCGCCCCGCCCGGGGGGGTGAGGGGACACCGGCGCCGGGGGGGGACAGCCCCGCACCTGCAGCACCGGCGGGGGACACGGGGACTCAGCCCCGCACTGACACACGGACTCCCCCCCCCGGCGGGACCCCCGCCCGCCGCCCCTCGGCCCGGCCCCGGGAGGGGGGGACACCGGCACCGGAACCGGGCGGGGAAACCGGCAGGAACCTGCTGGGCTCCCCCCGGCACCTGCCGCAGCGGGCGGGGGACGCGGGGGCTCAGCCCCGCGCCGGTCACGGACCCCCAGCCCAGCGGGGACCCCCGCCCGCCGCCCTTCGCCCCGGGAGGGGCAGCGGGGACACCGGGAGGGGAACCGGAGCCTGTTGGGGGGCGCAGCCCCGCACCTGCTGCGTGGGAAGGGAGGGACCGGGGGACTCAGCCCCGTTCAGCCCCGGCGATGCCCCGGCCCGGGACGCCCGCCCGCCGCCCTTCGCCCCGCCCGGGCGGGGCCGCTCCGGGAACGGCGGCGGCTCCTGCGCGGCGGCGGAGATGGAGCGGCCGGTGCCGCTGCCCCGGCGGACCCGGCCCCGGGCCCGGCACTACTACGAGGGCTTCGTGGACAAGCGGGGGCCGCGGGATCAGGTGGGCGACACCGCCGGGACCGAGCCCGGCACCCCCGGGACCGATCACCGGCGGGCCCCAGCGCCAACGCCTGGGGCTCCCCGGGACCGAGCGCCAGGAGCGACCCTCGGGCACCCCGGGACCCCGGGGCCGCTCCCGGCACTCCCAGGCACTGTCCCCACCGGGACCGACTCCCCGTATCCCCTTAGCCGCCGGGGCCACCGGCTGTGTTCCCTGCGGAGCCCGGTGCCGGTTCCCTGCTCCTGGTGCCCGTTCTCAGTTCCTGGTTCCCGGTTCCTGGTGCCGGTGCCAGCTCCCGGTGCCGTTTCCCCGTTCCCGGTGGCATTTCCCTGTTCCCGGTGCCGGTTCTCTGTTCCCGGTGCTATTTCCCCGTTCCCGGTGCCGTTTCCCCGTTCCCGGTGGCATTTCCCTGTTCCCGGTGCCGGTTCCCTGTTCCCGGTGCGATTTCCCCGTTCCCGGTGCCGGTTCTCTGTTCCCGGTGCTATTTCCCCGTTCCCGGTGCCGTTTCCCTGTTCTCGGTGGAGTTTCTCTGTTCCCGGTGCCGGTTCCCGGTTCCCGGTTCCTGGTGCCGGTGCCGGAGCTGAGCCCGTCCCTCCCCGCAGGGCTACCGGAGGGTCTGGGCCGGGCTGCGGGGGCTCGAACTCGCCTTTTACCGGGGGCCCCAGGACCGCGAGGTACCGGGGCTCCTCCGGGCGGGTCCCCGGGACTGGGACCCCCCCACGGGCTGTCCCGGCCGGGCCCGCGGGGTTTCTCCGGGCCGGGACCCCCGCGGGACCCCCCGAGGCTGGACACACCCCCGGGCTGGGGCCCCTCAGGGTGGGACCCCCAGCACAAGAACCTCTGGGTGGGACTGGGGGGGCTCCCCAAGGCCGGGACCTCTGGGACCCCCAAGATTGGGACCCCCCCCATCCTGCCCGGGCTCTGGAGATGTCCCTGGGGCAGGGTCCCCTCAGGTGGGGCCCCCTCCCCGAGGGGAGAAACCCCCAGGACTGGGGACCCGTCCCCATAAACCCCCCTGGGCAGGAGCCTCCCGAGGATGGCACCTTCAGGGGACACTGGGGGGACCCCGGCTGAGGTGGGGGCGTCCCTGGGCCGGGGTCCCACCCTTGGGTGCCCCCAGCCCCTGGAGCTGCTGGACCTGGGCGAGCTGGTGACCGTGCAGGCCGAGGACGGGGCGCTCGTCCTCAAGCTGAGGGGACAGGAGGTGACAATGAAGGTCAGGGGGGGCAATGGGGGGCTGAGGGTAACCGGGGGCAATGGGGGTACCTGGAGGGGGGATCTGGGGGTACAGAGGGGCAGGATTTAGGACTGGGGGGACAAGGGGAATGAGTTTTGGGACAAGGACTGCAGGGGGGCACTGGGGAGCGTAAGGGAAGGATTTAGGGACGCAGAGGGGACAGGAATTTGGGACTGGGGGGGCTGGAGGTACTTGGGGGTACAGGGGATGCACCGGGCTGTGGGATTTGGGGCCGGGTTTAGGGGCTGTGGAGACCTGAGGGGGTCACAGGGGACAGGCCACCCTCACGTCCCCGTGTCCCCTGGCAGACGGAGAGCTGGGAGACGCAGGAGATGTGGCGGGGATTCATCCTGACCATGGCCGAGGTGGGCACGGGGCGCTGCCCGGGGGTCCCGGGGTGACAGGGACCCCTCTGTGCCACCAGCCCGTGTCCCCCCGCAGATGAAGATACCCCGGGACCTGGCGCTGCTGCCCGGACACAACTTCCAGCTGCTGCAGGCTCTGCGGGAGGAGCAGGAGCGCAGGGACAGCGCCGTGTCCCCGGCCACCGCCGTGTCCCCAACCACCGCCGTGCCCGCTGCCACCGCGGTGTCCCTTGTCACACCCGTGTCCCCAACCACCGCCGTGACCCCGGCCACGGCCGTGTCCCCCCCGGCCACCGCCGTGCCCCCAACCACCGCCGTGACCCCGGCCACCGCTGTGACCCCAACCACCGCCGTGTCCCGGGTCACACCCGTGTCCCCAACCACCGCTGTGTCCCCGGCCACCGCCGTGTCCCGGGTCACACCCGTGTCCCCGGTGACACCCGTGTCCCCCAGCCCCTCTGAGCCGTGAGTCGGGGGTGTCCGGGGCTGGGGGTGTCCCCATCCTCACTGGGACCAGCACGGCCCAGCTGGGGGTGGCCCGGCGGTGGCGGGGCAGGGTTGGGGGTGACAGCGGGGGGGTCCCCAGGGTCCCCAGCTGCTTTTTCCAGGTGACACGCGCCGAGGCCGAGCGGCTGCTGGAGCAGAGTGCGGGCAGGGGGAACCTGCTGCTGCGGCCCGGGGGACACGGCCAGGGGGTCTCGGTCACCACGCGCCAGGAACTGGGCGGGTCCGTGCCGGGGGACACCGGGGGGCGTGGGGGGTCACCGGGGGAGGGCTGTTCCCAAGGGGAGGGGTCCTGTGCAAGGGGAGGCTCAGGGTGCCCATGGGGTGGGGTCCCAGGGGGAAGGTCCCCGTGCCAGGGGGGTCCCGGGGGGTGTGAGTGCCCCAGGAGGGGGTCCCCAGCCCCTGAGGCAGCCCCCCCGCAGGACAGCGCTGCTGAAGCACTACAGGGTGAAGAGAGAGGCCCAGGGCTACGTCATCGACGTGGAGACCCCGGTGAGTGACACGGGACAAGCCCTGGGGACAGGGACCCCAATCCCGGGCACCCCCCTGAGCCTCCGGGGGGGAGCCTTGGGGTCACCCGAGGGACTGGCACCGTGCGGGCTGTGCCAGACCCCCAGGGAGCCCCGGGAGCACCCAAGGGTGGGAGTCCCTGGGGTCCCCCGAGGGCCGCGGCTCCAGGAACTGGGACCCCCAAAAGAGGGGACAGGGAACCCCTGAGGTTTGGGATCCCTGGGAACTGCGACCCCCAAGAGACTGGGACCCCCCCAAAGGGCTGCAGCCAAGGGGGTGGGACCCCCCAGCCAGGGCTGGGGCGGGGGGCAGGGGATGGGGGGCGCGGGGGGTCCCCGAGTGACGCCGTGCGTGTCCCCAGCACCGCTGCTCGTCGCTGGCAGAGGTGGCGCAGTTCTTCGTGCGCAGGAGCGGGGGCAGCCTGCGGCCCCTGGAGCCCGAGTACAGCTCCCAGCTGGGTGGGCACGGGGCCGGGGGGCGCGGGGGGCACGGCTGGGGTGAGGGGTCTGGGGGGCTCAGAGGGGTCTGGGGAAGCTCAGAGGGGTCTGGGGGGCTCAGCGGGGTCAGGGGTGTCTCAGCCTGGGGGGCTCAGCGGGGTCTGGGGGAGCTCAGCCTGCTGGGGCTCAGAGGGGTCTGGGGGTGTCGGGTGCAGACGGAGGGTCCGTGACCCCCCCGCTCTGCCCCAGAGTTCGTGCCGATGCAGGGGGGTCCCTCCCCGGCTGCAGCCACGCCCAGGCCGGCCCCGAGGAGGGGCAGGAGCCCCCCCGGGTTGGGGCTGGTGCCCGAGGAGCAGCTCTACATGAACGACCCCGGTGAGGCCGCTCGGAATGCGGGGAGGGGAGGGGGCACCCCCGCACCGAGCCCCCCCTCCCCGGCCCTGCTGTCACCCCCCGAGCGCAATGAGGGGACACGATGGGGGGGCACGGGGGGTGCCAGCATGGGGACACCGGCTCCTGTCACCGGCTCGGGGGGCAGAGGGGAGGAGCGGGGGGGTCCGGGGGGGGGCAGGGGGATTCTCTGCCGGGCACTCACAGCCCCCCCCTCACGGCACAGGGAGGACCCAGGAGCTGCTCAGGGAGCTGCACAGGAAGCTGCAGCAGCGCCAGGCTCGGTGAGGGGACACTCGGGGGTCGCCCTGTCCCCCCCCACCCCGTGCCTGCTGCTCACCCCCAGGGAAAGCTATCCCCAGTGTCCCCGGACCTGGGGTGACACTGGGGAGGGGGGGGGGA